ATCTTCAGTAGTTACTAAAATATCGCAGTTTTCGTATTTCTGGAAATTACCGTTATATGGGAAGTGGGCGTGGTTACAGTTCGATTTCGCCCATTTTCAATACCAACCTACCTTGGATTAAAGGAAACCTACATACCAAATTTCGTTGAGATATCGCAATTTTTGCTCGAGTTATCGTGTACACGGACGGACGGACAGATGGACAGACGGACGGACAGACAGACATGGCTTAATCGATTTATTTTTTCATCCTGATCATTTATGTATACATTTGTCTATATCTGTCTCGATTCGTTTTGGCTGTTACAAACAACCGTTATGTGAAGAAAATTAATATACCCTTGTGCACAAGTGCGCTCGGGTATAAAAATACAGTAAAATAAAATATATATAAAAATAAAATATAATATAAAATAAAAGAAAACAAAAGAATGAAAGAAAAAATTATGACTATAAAGAAAAAAAGACAACAAAAATTATTAAACAAGTTTTGTATAAATAATAAACTCGAATAAAATCAGATACAAGATGAAAAATTTATAAAATGTTATAAAATTAAAATAAACTAAATTAGAAAAACTTAATCAAATCAAAATATAAAATGAATAAGGTATAATAGATTAAAAATTCCTCTTTCGGTTTTTTGTATGTAAATGTTTAAGAGAAAAGGGGTCGATGAAGGAGCAGCGTTTACTCATTTTAAATAAATAGTTTCAGCTGTCATTTGAATTCCAGTAAAATGTGGAAAGAATATTTTCCCAAATAAATTTGAATAAAAACAGGAAATAAACTAAAAATTCCCGCACTTTATAGGATTTTAAGAACTAAAGATTTCTTAAAAAAAAAAAAATCCTTCAGGGGGTACTAACTTTGAGGCATCGAATCAAATGCTAAAAAAAAGCAAATCAATGTACGAAAAATAATGAAACTGAATTTAATTAAAACAAAATGTAATTTAAATGTTCAATTTTATAAGTCTATTTATGTTTAGCTAAGGGTCATTCCAAGTAAAGCATGTAAACGACATAAATTTTAAAATCGCTTAAGTTTCCCAGTTTCAGTAGTAACCTCTTAATAAATGACTGTATTTTATTAACTTGTTAAAAAATATTAGAAAAATATAAATAAGCCGAAGTTTTTTGGCCTTATTCCTAAAGAATAAAGTAGCTTTATAAAAGGTTTATAAATTGATAAATGTATGAAAACGTCGATTTATAAAGCTCTTTAGACCTAAAAATCTAAAAAAAATTATCCGTTCTTGGCCGATTTTGCTATTTACCTTGTTTTCTTAAAATTTAAATATATGTATATGTTTCCATTTTTGACTAAGCAATCCAAAATCTGTTAGAAATGGCTACTAGACTTATCGCGGAGGCAGGGTTATATAAAATTGGGCCGATTTCGCTTATTTTTATTTTAAACGAATATATTTTCTCTAAATAAGGCCGTAAAGGGGATGTTCTTCATAAAATGTTTGTTATCAATGACTTAAATTTAAGTGTGAAGTCTTATTCGCAAGCTTAGAAAATAACAAATTGTTTCACTGTTTGTTCAGCATGCGTTTGTGTTTGGATATAGTGCCCAGAATAAATGTTACAGGTATTGTCTTCCCAGATAGCGCATATTCATGAATGAAAATGGATATTTTCAAGCACTATGTACACATATGGATTTATTTAAACTAACTTCTTTTCCTGAGAACTTATTTAAATTCCAAACACCGAAGGCCAACTTGAAACTTGAAAAGAACCAACACTGAAATGCGTCAAAATGAAAGTAAAAGAGCATAAATTTTTATGTAAAGCAAAACTCTCTGGGAAGACTATAGGTTTGTTCGTCGAAAATCCAGCGAAAATTATCTCTCAGAATATTAGTTAGTAAGCAAAAATGCTCCCAAATTCTCTATCAATTACAGATACTCTGCACGAACGCAAATTTGCAGGAGCTTGCAAGTTTCCCTGCCAGCCAGTGTCCACGGTTGGATTTCAAACATTGTATAGAATGTTAAAATTCTTTCAGAGGGGCAAAAAACAAGATCTATATTTATATTTCTTGCTAGTCCGACTTTCTTCAACATACGTTTCAATTTCCTTGCCGTACTAACTGTCGCGTTTCCTATATCGACTCTGGTAGAGATTGCATTCCGAGTACGTTTCAAATCATTGGAATTAACTAAATAATTAAGTAAACAAGTATTTACTTAAATTTTTCATTTTAAAATCGCTCAAGTTCGTAAAGTTTTAAATTCGATGAACCTGTTTATTCATTTTACCGTCGACAAAAAATGCAACCATGTGCCACAATCATATGTTTTTCCTAATTGCAAATTCTTGCTGGCAACATTTTTTCCAGCTTGAATTTGCAACTTCTCTCCAAGAACTGATCTTTCTACTTATGATTTATTTAAATAAAACATGCGAAATTTAGTTGGCTCGGTTTAGCCGTTTTTTACCAATTTAACCGGTTGGTCCAAAAATCTCAATGCAAAAAAAGACGTAAGTGAACATATGAATTGTGTATCTGAAAGAAGTTCATAATACCAGTGGCAGAAATAAAAGAATCGCCTTATATCAACCTGTTTAGTCTTTCTATATTTATTTAATATTCAAATTTTTTTTTTATAAAAGGCTACCTCATTTTACATATAATTAACTGCATTTAAATGCGCATTTCAAAATTTGTACAATTATAAAAATGAAAAAAAAAAATTAACTAAAATTTCAAACTTTTTACTTAGCATTTTTAGAAAAATTTTAGGTACGCAGTTTTATAGAACATAAAATTAAAGTAGAATAAAATGCTAGTTTCAAGCAGTAACAAAACACAGTTGATTTTTGTGGATTTTTTAAACGATGCTGGGAATTTTCTTCCATATAAACAAATTGTCGAACATACATTGTATGTACTTTGTATGGAAGAAAATGCGTGACACCGCCAGGAAAAAAAAAATGATAAAAAATTAACGTTACTTTTAGTCACTTGAAACTTGCACTATATCCTCCTGTAATTTAAATGGGCTATACTTATAAAATTGTGTACCTAGAATTTTTCTAAAAATTTTGAGCAAAAAGATTTAAATAGGTTGAAACAAAAAAAATTTCAAAACACACCAACAATCAATATACTCACGACACTATTGGCCAAATATAGTAAAACTGCGTTCTTAGGTTTAGCATTATTTTATTAGAACTTTATAATTTCAAAAATATGATGTATTCTAAAAATTATTTAAAAAATTCAGTGCAATGTAAAATAAAAGTGGCTACCAAATGAAAGACAAAACAATGTAGGATTTAAAAAAATTCAAAATTTTTGGGTTCATAAGGACGAATAGGTACTGAAAATGCACTTTTAATTAAATTTAATTTTTTTAAGCTTACAAGGACGTTTGAGGACGTTGTCGAGTTTATATTAGTAACATATGTATAATTATTTCAAAATAAATATTACAAAATTTCAAGGATATTCAAGGGTAGATTTTTTAAGGACATTTTCAATACTTTATGCACCAAAAAATTTAATCTGTTCTTTCCCTACAGAATTTTCTCTTTAATTTGATAGATACCCATACTGTTTTCCTATGTACATTGCTCTAAATTTTTTAAACCATTTTCTGAATTACTCATATTATTCAATTTTCAAAGTGCTATTAAAAAATCCTGACGTCAGAGAGAAAAAACTAAAAACCCAATTTTACTGCATATATTTGGCCCATGGTTTCGCGAATATATTCATTTTTTTTTTTTGTGTGTAACATATCCTGTCGCACGACAATTAATCCCGAGATTTTTGGGACTGCAAAAAGGGATAGAGATTAACATCCCTAGTAAGTATGTTCAAAATTGAAATTGTATTTAATTGCTTTGGCAGCTATTATCCCCACATCGAAATTTCTATGTGGAATGCCGTTCACCCGAAATCCTTTCACATTAATGATGAAGTGAACTATTTCCTTGAACGAAATTTTTCGCCGGTGAAATTTTTCACCAAATATTCATGATAAGGCTTTTACTTTATACCAGTCACAAGGACTTGCCCCACCAGTCACAAATTTAAATATTTTAAAAATGTCTATAAAGACTGTTTGACCTTGTTTATACCCACACATAAATCGTTTTGACCCAGTTCGCAGTGATTCAAAACTGATGCATAAACCGAATTTTAATACGCTCAGAATTTGGTTCAAGAACGCCCCATCTCAGCTGCCGATTCAAAAAGGCCCTATTTCAGCACATTTTCAATGTATTTTCAACTGAGATAGGGCGTGTTTGAACCGAAATCTGGGATAGGTCGTTCTTCAACAAAATTCCTCAAAGTGGCCGCCATGGCGCAGAAATCGTTTCATTATCTGTTAGTTACATATGGAATTAGTACAAAAGATTTCCTCTGAATCGCTACCAAATTAATGTGAAAATCTAGATGTGTACAAAAATGTTAAGAAAAAGCAAGCCATGAAAGCGCATTTCAAGAATAAAAAAAAAAAAAATAAAACCAATGTGAATGTAGGCCAAAAACGCAAGGAAAACAAATTTCGAACATTTATGAAACAAACAAAACAAACGAAAACAAAAGGCAAACAAATAAGTTTTTGTTTTACATATCCACATACATACATATGTATGTAGGCACGAGTATGTCTTCCGACATTGAACTTGCTGTTTGTTGCACTTAAATGTACTTTGAAAAAAGTACTTTTATACATAAGTATGCACATTAGGGTGGTCAAAAAAAAGTTTAAAATTTTAAGCTATCACACAATGGGATTTTTCTAAATGGCAAAAGGAATCCCCATTTTTGTTCTTAAAAAAAAAAAAAAGATTTAGAACTGCCCCAAAGCCCATGAAGTTTTTCATGTATTTTGTATTCTTCATTTTCACATTTTTTCGTTGAAATGGTATAGAGTTATTGAAAGTATTATTTTTTCAATCGGAAAACTCTGTTTTTTTTTACTAAAGGTTTTTTAATCGGACACCCCATTTTCTTTTTTTGCTTACATACACATTTGGGTATTATTATTGGAAGTTTCCTGAAGTGAAACACAGTTATCCGATCGAAAAGTATTGATTTTCAAGAATTCTATACCTAAATATATATTTTGGTCTCATTTTCTTGCCTTATAATAGAGCTTGAGATTGTTTTTAGCGAAAAATTATTGTGGAAAAACAACAATAGTTTAAAAAGGCTAGAAGTTATAACTGCTATGTATTTCCAGTTCACATCATCTCCTAATCAGATTTCTTCATTGCAGTCTGATGACTAGATTTGGTGTTCTCCGAAATAGCAGCTATATCTTCTTCTTCTTTAAGCTATAGTGTTTTTTTCGCCATATTTTTTAATTAAAAACGGCCTCAAGCCCAACAAAGTTGTCGAATAAAAAACATCTTTTCTTCTATTTAAAAAATCCTAGGGGATGAGAGCTTAACATCTTAAACTTTTTTTCTGCACCTATTTTTGGACCACCCTAAAGCACATATATAAGTCCATACATACATACGTGCAATTGAAAGTGCACATTTCTTGGTATGGAAAGTGTGTGAACGGAATTGTGTGATTTTAGTTTTTCCAAAATCTTTTCTCTTGGTCTTTAATACTTGTTTGGCATCTCCGGCATATAAGGACCTCTTTCTTTGGGCAAAGGCGAATTACTCAATGAAAAGTCTTGGAAGTGAGAATTAGGGATGAAGTTCTGCTAAATTTGATCACTGCGATTCTATCAAATAAAAATCGCAAATAATGCCAGCGAAAATCCCAATCAGAAGCAGGGTAAATGCAAAGGAAAAAAAGGCGACATAATTAAATAAACTGTGAAATCGACTAAGAAGGATAATAGAAAAGTTGGATGACTCAAATAATAAATCAATTTTTATTCGGTAATCCATGAAAGCTTGTCGATTAGAGTGGATGTTTGCTACCATCGAGGTTTTCGATGTTTTAAAGCAAGCCAAATTTGACTGGTAGTATGGCAGGTGGTTTCCGCAGCCCACCTGATATTTACCTCCTCGACGAGTTCCACCTTTAGTCTGTGTTTGCAAGAGGCTAGAGGTATGCCCGCATTCTGAGCAGAACTAACTTCATATATTTCCGTCCCCCTCCTTGCCAGCGCGTCGGCTAGGCAGTTGCCAGGAATGTCCCTATGTCCAGGGAACCATACAACAGTCAAGGAGCATTTTAATGCCAGCAGGTTGAGAATCTTCCTGCATTCTATGGCTACTTTGGACGTTGTTCCATTAGAATTGAGAGATTGGATAGCAGCCTGGCTGTCAGAATAGATAGCAACAGGCCGCCCTGAAGAAGCGCTTCCATTATGGCGTTTTATTCTGCTTGAAAAACACTACAATGGGCCGGTAAGCGAAAACTGAGGTTTAGCGTGGGTTCTTCAGAGTAGATCACGCTCTCCACTCTTTTGTTAAGCTTGGAACCATCTGTATATACGGCCGTAGATCCTGGGTTCAGGTCTGTGGCCCCTCCCCATTCGTTCCTCTCTGGGATTCTTGTGGAGAATTTGTTGTCTAAACAGATTAGAGGAGTGGTATAGTCTATCTGTCGTAGATTATCCGGTAGAGTTTGGAGTGCTTTTGCGTGTTCGAATCTGAGGTCTCTCCACGGCTGGATTGTATTTAACCTGGCCGCACTGCAGCCGGCACGAAATTTTCCGTAGCGATCCATAGATGGAATATTTAACATTATTTACAGAGATTTGGTGGGTGTAGTGCGCAGTGCTCCTGGGACTAGCATGGCAGCCGACCCCTGCACCCGTTCCACCTTGCCTCTGGATAAAGTGTTGTTTAGCGCAGGCCACCATACGGTGACCCCGTAGAAAATGATGGGTCTTATCACAGCTGTGTACATCCAATGTATGATGTGTAGTTTTATTCCCCATTTTTTGCCTATAGCCATATTAAAGGCATAAAGGGCGGTATTCGCCTTTCTGGAGCGGTCTTCAATGTCTCGCTTCCAGTCAAGTTTCTTGTCTAGAATAATTCCAAGGTATTTGACCTCGGTTGAGAGAGTAAGTACCACCCCGTTTAGGTTTGGAGGTTTAAATAAGGGAGTTTTACACTTCCTTGTGAAAAGTACCATTTCCGTCTTGGTAGCATTGATGCTAAGTGCACATTCCTTGGACCACATGTTTACCAGACCGAGTGAGTTTTGCAATAACTCACTCAGGACCTGAAGATGTTTGCCCGTTGCCACGATTGCTATGTCCTCAGCGTACGTTATGACTTGACAACCGGTGCCCTTTAGGCTTAGAAGTAGGGTGTTCACTGCTCAGAGTAGAGGGGAGAGAACGCCTCCTTGGGGGGTGCCTCTGGTCACATACTTTGTAATGGCGTTCGGAGTCGGTGTACGCTACAATTCGGAGGAGAAGCTCGGCCAAACAATAACATATGTGTAAGCGCCGATCTATTAATATAATAATTATTATTGTTATATTATTAAAAAAAATAAAAGAGTTTTTATTGAAAGTCTTAAAAAATATTTTGATTTTTGTTTTGCAAGGTTATAAACTAGAAACTAATATTATTTCATTTCACATGCGCAGAGGTGTACAAAAGATATATCGATAGTCGCCATCAATCATCGATGTTTAGCGAAAATGAAAAACATCGTTAGTGCTACGATGTTTTCCCTACCTCTATTGTCGATGCCAATCGTTTCAATCAAAAATTGTTCACGAATAATAACCTCTTTGGGTAGAATAAATATCCTTTGCGATTTTACAATGATCGGACTTAGTATATAATATCTATTGTCGCGGTTATACAAAGGTTTACAATTCAAATAAACTAAAATGTATATCAATAGATATACTTACATTGACATATCATCGCCTGAAATGCAAAAAGCCAAAACTAACAATTTTTTTTTGCCATAAAATGACGTGGGGACTTCTGAGTCGATAAAATCGCTAGTTATGGTTTGTTGCTTCAAATATCAGAAAAAAATTGTTTATCAGAACTACAGATTTAAGGTGTTGAATACAATCGCTTCTAATGTACTTGATTACATTCCTCGTTTAACATACCTATAACTTAAAATTTTTTATTCTTTTTCTCTTGTTATTGCAGCTTCATCATCGCCGCCGATTATTGGCAAGCACGTTTCCCCGGACGCTCAGTGGCACTGGATATGTCTATGACATATATAATTGTCGCATTTGCTACCGTTTTGCTCAATAATGTTTTTCTATCGTTGGCACCATTTCGTGTGCGTGTCCTTTTCGGTTATGTGGTGTCCTTTACTACGCTCATCTTTGTGGCTGTGTGTGAGGTGGCCTTTCATATGTTTGCTGCCAATACAGCATATTCGGTAAATTTGGCTGCTGTATCGCTGGTGGCCATCGGTTGCACAGGTCTGTATTTACACATGAGAGCAATAATATTTTTTCTGGCTAAAAAAAACTAGTTAAATATTTAAAAAATAACACTTGGAAAATAATATATATATTTTGCATGGAAACTTAACTTTTTTGCTATCTTAATTTTATTTTACTTCATTTATATTTTTTCAATCCATTTAATTTCACTTAATTTGTCTTAACTTAACTTAATTTAACTTCCCTTCACTTAACTTGACTTAATTTCCCTTCACTTTTGCTTCACTTTCCTTCACTTCATTTCACTTCACCTCACTACCCTGCACACTTCACATCACTAATTTTTACTTCACTTCACTGCACTTCACTTCAATTCAATTCACTTAATTTCACTTCACTTTCCTTCTCATTTCCTTTCCTTTCCTTCTCCTTCCCCTCGTTTCTCTTCTCCTTCATTCTTTCCCTTTACTTTATTTCTATTGCTATGCCATTCCGAATTACGTCGATTTATTTAATAACTTTTCCTCAGCTCGCACTCAATTCTCCATTTGCCCTTCTCTTTCCCACAGTGCAACAATCGAGTTTCTACGGCTTTGCCAGCATGTTGCCCAAGCAATATACCCAAGCTGTTATGGCTGGCGAGAGCGTTGCCGGCTTTTTGGTATCTTCCAATCGTGTGGTCACTAAGTTGCTTATTCAAAACGACCGTGTGTCGACAGTGATCTTCTTTCTCACCTCAACCCTCTACATACTCTTCAGCTATGTGCTGCATCTAGCAACCATACACTCGCCATTTGTGCGATACCACATGAAGGCATGCGCCAAGATTGTACTCAGGCCTGACGAAGATCGATTGGTAAGTAATTTTTTTGATTTCGAATATTTTTTGCATGCATTAATTTCTTACCCTATCTTTCCCTCACAGCAAAATGACCTTGACGGCGGTACGCCCATCGCCAAGTATGGCGTACTCACGCTTGAACCCACTTCACCACCAGCGAATGCTGCTAATAACACCACAGGCGCGCTAAGTTTCAGTAACCCGGTTTATGAGCTATCCAATCCCACGGCTGGTGAGAGTGTCATCGAGGGTCTCAATAGCTTACCCGATATACCGAGCACACCACAGGAACCCACCACGCCAACTACGGTCGCTTTCAAGGTGGAGCATGTGCTTACACCGGGCACTTGTACGCCCGGCAAGTTAAGCGATTTGAAAAACGGCTTCGTTTCGCGCTGGACTGTCGCACAGGCAATTTACCCCTACATGGTCTGCATCGCACTCGCCTACTGCGTCACGCTCTCTCTATATCCTGGCATCGAATCCGAGATCATTTCTTGCAGTCTGGGCACTTGGTTACCGGTATTGCTAATGTTCACCTTCAATACAGCTGATGTGATTGGCAAGATACTTGCCGCAGTGCCATATCCATGGTCACGGCGTCAGCTTATCCTAATGTCCGGTCTGCGCATCGTTTTGGTACCGCTGCTATTGCTGTGCTGCGCACCAAGGCATCAACCAGTCATTTCGGGCGAGACTGCAGCATTTGTCTTCACAATCGGATTGGGCGTCAGTAATGGGCTCGCTGGCAGTCTTCCAATGATGCTCGCACCAGCCAAGGTGCCTGGCACCCTCAAAGAGGTGACCGGTAACATGATGACACTCTCCTACAATGTCGGGCTGACAACTGGTTCACTAATCGGCTATGTTTTCGAATCTATGTTGGGCGCGCAGCTCACCAATCCCTGTCCGACCTATCCCTATGCACCGGCCTCAATGTTGGATCCAACAGGCGCGCATGCGCAATTTCTCAGCACCACAACCAGCACAACAAGTACCGCAGCGCCAGTGTTGAATACAACAGCCGTCGCTGCGGCGTTACTCACCACCACAGTTTCGACGCTCTTGCCCACCACCGAGGCAAGTACAACTGCGCTGGCGGCAACAGCAGCGGCGGCTGGAACAACCACAGTTGCGGCAGCAGTGAGCACAACTAGCACATCGGTGGCGCCACTGCTACCGACACTGATGACGCCGACAGCCACAGCGTTCATCACCTCGACGGCGGCGACGATCTTGAGTTCGGTGTCGGGTACGATCGATAATGTGGTCTCGGCCATGGTGAGCACTGTCTCATCGATGGGTCTGGACCTGAGTGCCGATGCGAGCATAAGCACCACAGATCCGCAGACGCCAAATGAGCTGATGCAGAGGATTTAAATGAGGAAAAAAGGAGTTCGAAGGCAGAGAATGAGCGAATACGGAATGGGTTTTACTAAGTCAAACAACGCTGAAAGGATTGGCCGAGTTTTTAATGAGTCTGTCCTTTAGGAAGAAGGAGCACATATTTTTGTTCTTACGAAGCAAGTGTTTTCTAAAAATTTTGTAAATAGCTGATTTCGATAGAAAAGCACGAGGTGTTTAGTATATATTAGGGCGAGTCGCGCGCCTTTTTGTTGTTTTTAACTGTATATACCTCGCTATGTGTGCATGACTGAAGTGAAGGTGGCCAGATTTATAAAAATAATCGCATTACTTAAATTTAAAAACAAAGCAAAAAATGAAAAAAATAATACGCGCGGACTAATTTACGGGAATATAAAAAAAAAACAGAACAGAAAACAATAAAAAGTGGAAAAAGGTTTTGGAAAAGAGGTAATACATTTTACTGCATACCATACTCATCAAAAATAGTCACATACGCATATAAATTTATAAAATACATATAGACTGTAAGAATAACAGTTAAAAAGTTGTATACCTATCGAAAAAATTTCAAGCAAGCAAATTGAGGCACAGGCACGAGTTGCGTGAAATCGGCGTCTAATAGTAGGCTCCCACTGCATTCTGATGCATACCTACTGCAGCCTACTTTTAGGCGCTGATTTCTAAAGTGAACAGTGAGCTGTCGTGAATTCGAAGTTTGCATTTTTGCATACAAAAAAACAAGAAAAAGCAAACAAAAATAAATATCATCAAAAATTGTACTAAATACTTATTAGTTAAAATTTCATAACCAAAATAGTAAGCGTAAATTGTAGCGAAATTGTGCTAGAATATGTGGATATACATAGAAATGTTTGTAATAAATTAATAATTGCATACAAATTTCTTACATACATAGAACTCAAACGTAAATTTATATACATAGATAAGTAATGACGTCGGCATGTAAAGGTATCTGAGTTGAACGTAGACTTTTAGGCGCCGTTCCATATTTTGCAGCGATACATAACACACAAAAGGGCTGATAGAGATTTAAATTCTTACATGAGATAAGATATATTTTTAATATATACATAGTTAATTAAGGAATAAAGTTAAAATTGAATATTAAGAAAAAAATTAATACACAATAATAAAAAATAATACATCATAGCGGCCAGTAAGACGTATGACGATGAGGCCTGCCGGTAACCAAAGAATTTTATTTGAAGTGTAGTGTGAAGTAGTAAATAGTAAAAAAACGAGTTTTGATATGTATTTTTATGTTCCTGCTTAAAGTTATTTTTGTGCCTTAAAATGTTGGTTTTATAAGTTTTTACTACTTAAAGTGAAATACTTTGAGTTAAAATTTTTTGTAAAAGAAGTAACACAAAAAACATGTAGGTATGTACATTTTTAATTTTTTATTGGCGAAAGTAATCTTTAAATTTTTTTGTCTGTCTGTATTTGCCGTAAATGAGCTTTTTAGTGAAATACTTCTAAAATATATTTAAAAAAATTGAGTTTTCATTTATTCTAATACAAATTTTAAAACCTGTCCAATCACAGATCCTTAGAAACATTTTGAGCTTTTAATTATTTGTAAAAATATTAATATTTTTTTGAATAAATAATTGTTTTTGTGAAAATTTATATTTGGTTTATTTTTATTTTTCCCACAAGCTTCTGTAAAATAATTTTAAAATTTGTAAAACCAGACCAGTCATAAATTTTTGTTCGACCAGAAAAATTTACGAAAAATACTTTTTCCGAATCTTTGCTGTGGTAAACTTTTTGGAGGTGTTTTTAACTAATTATATTTTTAATTACTAAAAACAGTGTTCGCAACAAATATTATTTTGTGAATGAGTTTTGGGCAAATATAAAAAAATAAGAATTAATTTTTTTTCGTAATACTAGTCAAAAGGTTGATGGTCCTGTCCGACTTTGTTTGCAACAAATATTTATTATTGTTTCGGAAAAATATAAAAAAAATACAATTAAAATTTTTTATAAAATTGGTTTAGGTTGTAGTTTGCGTAAAATTGACCTACTGTTTTATATTTGTGTGAACGTTTTTTTATTATTTTCTTGTTCATATCTTTTTAAATGATTTTATTTAAAAAAATCTTTTAAATCAAATTACCTTTATGTTAAAAATTTTTACACTTTTTTAGTATGTCATTCATTCATTTTAGTATGTTCATTTCTTTTTAAATACTTTTCTTTAAAAAAACTTCCAACAAAAAATGTGAAAAGCAGTTTTTTGAAAAATATTTCATAAGATCATATTATGTAGTTTTACAAATATACATATGTATCCTCGTCAAATATATTTTCGTGGAAAAAAATTTTTGTTTCTAAATCTGAAACTTTATAAAAGTATATATTTTATGTAAAAATTAAAATGTTTTTTTCAAACTTTTAAGTAACTGTTTTGTGAATTTTTATGCAAATATAATTTTTCAATTTCTTATGCAAATATAAAACAATGAAATTTTTTTGAAATTGCTTGCTAAAACTTTTTTGCTTTTTCTTTGTATTCTCTTTATATACATTAATTTATTATTTTTGAAATTTTGTACAATTGTGAAAAATAGTTAATCCCAAATCTTCTTTGAGCCATTCACTATAAGTTTAAATTTTTTAAATATTTGTGTTCCATAAAAGTCAGAAAATTTATTTGAGTTATGAACATCAGGGTGCATCACTCGGCAAATGAAAAAATCGGTACTGTTTTTCCGTCGGAGTTTATTTATTTATTTAATTAGTCTATGAAACAATGTTTCTTACAGACTAGTAGACGAATGGTTTTATTAATGCTATCGGTCCACCTTTTGTTTGATTTGTTTTTTATTATGATTATTTATGGCCTTTATAACAACATCTTTCATTAAAAATGGCCTCAACGTCAATTCAAATTATTGAAAAAATGTTCGTAAAAATGTGTTGCATAAGTATTTTTTTCTTTTTTGAAACACGTTTGCATTGTTTTTGCAAACATTTGTTTCAAAAATATCGTTTTATATAAAATAGTTTGTTTTTCATTATTATGTTGTGATAGATAAGCAGTTGTACCCATAAAAAAAAAAATGAAAAATATTTGATTTCACTGCACATTAAATAATGGTTGATTTTTTAAACATTTTTTTTGTAGCGAAACATAATATTTTAACATATTTCGAAAATATATTTTTTTATAAAACACATTTTTTCCTGAAACCGAAATATTTAGATAATCTTTTATACATAGAGATAATGCTCGCGATCTCCATTGTTTAATCTACTCCTCTAAGGCGTCAATGTACGTTATTAAAAACAGATAGGTGTATATTATTGTTCGTCAGTTTTGTTTGTTGTATGTACTCGTATTTTATTGTGATTTTATTTAATTACTTAGTTGTAACTTGCATAAGTAGAGATGGGAATATATTTGATGACTTTTTGATAAGCAAAAAATTATTGAAATTGTTTTTCGGTACGTAATTGTCGATCGGTGGTAATTATTGCAATTAAATTATGCGAGGAAATTAATTGTAAAATATTGAATAGAAATATGAATAAAGTGAAATTATAAAAATGAAAAATTTTCTTTTTCTAAAAAGTTTTTCAATATACGAGTATTAAGTATACAACTTTGGTATTGCGCCATGTTTTAAGTGCCTAAATGTATGCAATGCAACGCCAACGACCAACGCACTTCTCAAATGCTACAGGCTAGAAATGATTGAAATTATAAGTTAATGCTGAGTCAAACCATTGCTAAAGAAGTGTATTCACCCAATGGCTCTAAGCTTGGCCATCCATTAAAGCATACCTCTAGCACCTTTAAGGCGTTTTGAAAATAAGTTTTCAGTAATAATGTAAAAAAACAAAAGAAAAATATTTCACACCGAAAGCAACGTTAAATCAAAAGTAACTCATCAATTAACCGAACTAACGCCTAAGTAGTGCATATTTTGAAAAGCTTTAAGGGGCAGCGGCATACTCAAAGGACACTTCAAGAATATTTGATTAATTTGTACTTGTGGATAATTCAATAAAATTTTTTTATTCACCTCTAAGTAATCTACCAACATGATGCTCGTTGCTTAAATTCCCAGAACACTCTTCATATGAAATCTGGCGAGAGTGAACCAAAAGCAATCACATCACGGCTGTATATGTAAGTAAAAGAGAACTTTCAATAAAACATTAAAGCAGTACTATGATTCTCTAAGAGCTAAAGACACTTAGAAATGGAAAAAAGCTCTTAAATGTTACCACGCTTTCTGTAGTAAACATAACACAAAGCTTTAAAGGCATATATATGATGAATCATTTGAGGGTGGTCATTATGGCTTTAAGATTTTCTTATGGTGCTTTTTCTAAGGGTGAATGCACTCAGAACATACATATGTACATACACAGAAGTTCATAATAGTGCATTATTTTTTATAGGGAAACTTCCTTAAAGCTTTTTATTATTTTAGCAAAGCGTTTGGAGACTTTTTAAAAGCTTTAGAGGGGTTACTTAACGAAAATTATAGCTTACAAGGCGCATGCTCAGTAAAAAATAGTTCTAATTTACACATATCTTCGCGCTGTTCCTAGTATTGATATCAGTTAATATTTTGTTCGGAGCTTTATAGCGGATAATGTCTTCCAAAGGCGTAGGAAGACATATAGAATAATATTTATAAACACTTAACACGCAGCGCACCATCTATATTTGAAGATTTAATTTTAAAAATTAAAATACTAGTATTTTACTATACCTACATACAAAAAATTATGGGAATTATCTTCTGCTCCGATTTGCAGGCTGAGAAATACGTATTAAAACTTTTTCGAAAATGTTGTAAACAAAAAAGTTATAAAAAATTCTAAAAATTTGTATCAAAATTTTCAACTATTTAATCAGAATTTTGAGAAAATGTGTTGGTTACATGGAAAAAAAGTTTGCAAGACCGTCAGCAAAAACAAAATAAGTCTATGAAATGTCAAGGGTAATTTTTAGCCACTTAAGACTTGCAAATTATTATACAATTATTAAATTGGCTACAAAACAATTTTTTAAAGATTCAGATTAAAAAGTTTGAAATTTTGATTAAAAATTTGTTGATTTTTTTTAATTTTTTACAAAGTTTTAAACTGTGATTTGTGCAACTATTGCGCTAACTTCAAAAACCTTGCCAATATATATTGGATATGCTTCGGTGTTGTATTGAACATCATTTTTTCTCTATTTATATGCAATCCAAGGTAGAGAGAATCATGCTAACTGATTACCACAAGGATACTCCAAGTCTGATTAATGAGTTTCGTCGCAGCTAAATCAAGCTGAATTGCAGAGGGATTCTAGAAATCGCCACGCTAAATTTTTGTCGCTAAAATCTCTAA